ACAAGTGCTGCCTTTCGGCAACTTACTGATGTAAATATTCATATCATCACCAATGATCTAATATGGCGGCAAATCAGAGATCGGTGAATAATAGATCTCAAGCATTTGCATATCTTAAACGAGAAAAATTTAGGTCGTATCGATTTATGAATTGCTATTTATTGTCCCCCAATTCGTCACCAACGCTTAACAGATCGATCTAAGATCATATGGAACCAATGTTGCGTGCCTGGCCATTCTTACACTAGAGAATTCTTAAAACTGCTTGGCTTAGAAATAGATAATCAAGTGAGAAGGTAAATGAATTTTAATTTTAATTTATGATTGCAAGCATTTATTTTCATCTCAACATAGCATCATTTCTTACATTTATTTAAATAATTTGGCTGCGATAACTGATTTTCTACAGTTCATAAGACGACATTAGCCGACAGTAGAAATTGCAAAGTTATCACTTTGATACCTTGAGCATTTAAAGCGATCAGTAACTACTGAATCCTTCAAATACTCTCTGCTATTCAAATCTTTCAACAGATTCTTAACACTATCTTTGGCTTTAAATGTGTTCTATTCTCTCTCATAGACTAAGTTACTTTTTTTGCAACAATCTCTAGCCGTTAATTTTATGCGTGTGTTGATGTATTAACAAAATGGCTTGCAAAAACTAACGTGATTATGACCATCATTATCGTGTAGAGTAATTGAATATGCTAACAGAAAACGATGAACAAACACCGATAGGAGAAAAGCATGGAGAATTGAAAGATGATGATTCCCCTATCACCCTTTTCTTACAAAAATTAAGCTCCAAATTACCCCAAAAATCAAGCGTCTTTGATCGAGTTCGTGAAGTGATCGATCAAAAAGAACCCTATTACGAACCATGGCCTGAAGATAAGATGAAAATGTGCTTCTTGATTAGAAATAAGAAATTATTGCCAGGTGGAACCAAAGACAGGAAATTTTTTACGCAATATTTAGGGCCAAATTTTTGTTTTAATCAAATGTATAAAAGCTGGGAAGTAACCAAAGGATACGATTCTTGGCGTGACAGAAATCTAGAATATGAAGGTGACGATCTTGGTTTATCTCAAGAGCATCTCTTAGATTTTAAATCAGCATTAAGGCAAGAGTACCTTAATAACTATAATTCCAGCCGGTTATCTTCAATAAGTGTTACAACGGAATCAGAATCGACATCATCAACCGAGTTTGTGCCACCTCTTAATGAGGTAGAGGAGACTACCTTAGCTCGTGCCTCAACAAGACGCAATAA